TGGCACTGAGTTGTTAGAAAAGAAATGCGTCGTGACATCATTGCTTGATGACGTCAGGAACCGATTAATCGGCTTTTTGAACCTGTTCAATGAACCGATCTGTCCGAAAAGAACCGGTTCGTGGAAATGAATCAGACTTTGCATCACTAGAGGACAGAGGAGAGAATGAGAAGGGAAGAAGTCAGGGAGGAGAGACTACTACTAAGATGTGTGTTGTTTTTTTTAAAGATTAATTCATGCTAACAAACAAAAACATTAATATTTCAATCTACTGTCATATGGGTCCAAACCAAGCGGCAGCCTCCCGCTCTCTCTCGTGAAGCCAACAAGGAAGTGACTTAAACTGTAATTCATCAACTGGCCGCTAGAGGCTGGCTGCAAAAGGGAGTCAATCCCATAGACTCCCCATGTTAAAATGCCCAACTTTACAGCAGAAAAAACATGCTTACAGCCTGGTTCAAAAAATTATTTTGGTCTATATAGCTAATTTTGCCCTTCGTGACAACTGTGAGGGGGGTGAATTTTTTTATAACTCATCCGTTTAAATTATATTAAGCCTTAAAGTTCTGCATAATTAAGGGCGTGGCCACTTGAGTGACAGGTGGATTGCCGCTGCTGTCACCGCCGTCGAGCTAGGTGGGCATGGTTTCAGCAACCAGCTCCCGCCTTTTTGCCCATTTTCGATTATCCGGGAGTGACGTGCTGCCAAGATGGCGACGGCCGGCTCCGCCCACTTTTAGCTTCAAAAACACTCTTTGGAAACCTACGGGTGACGTCACGGACACTACGTCCATGTTTTTATACAGTCTATGGTTTTGCCGCGTTGAGCATTGTAGCCAATCACAGAGGTGTTTGTTGAGCGTGAAAGCGATGTCCAATCAGAGGCGTGAGAGCTCTGCGTGCTCGCAAACAGTTTCGTCATAAATAAGAGCTGTTGAAAACGACTCTGTTATAAATAAGGAAGTACAAAAAATAAGACAAATAAAAGTAATTAACAGATTCATTGTGCAGTATAGACAGATTTTTGATTATAACAGGTGAACTGAAGTGATATCAGCTTCATTGATTATGCTCGCTTTCTGTTTATAACCCATTCATAATAAGAGTTTCATTTTTCAAGTCGATAATTATATTTGAAAAACATGAGGATACCAGCCTTTCTGTTGGAGAAAGGTGAATGCGATGGCCAATCAGAGGTGTTTAAATCAGAATGCTCAATATGCCAGACTTTAGCTGCGTCCCAAATGATGCACTATGCACTTTATACACTATGTACTTATGCACTATACTCAACCATGTAGAGTATGAATTATAAGGTTATTTTGTCATTCATAATCAAAGTCTGATAGCCCCTCCCCCTTCGGTACGTAATTAAAGCTGCAACAGTTGAGTGCATTGCTGCGTCCCAATTCGCCTACTTATACTATGCCCTAAAAGTATGTACTCTTTTTGTGAAGAAAAAGTACATACTTTTGAGTGTGTAGCAGAAAAGTATGCTAGCTTTGGGACATACTACTTTGTCGTAGCTGCTTCTTTAACGGACGCTCTGTTGCTTAGTTACATGCATTCTGTGACTGTTTAAACTGCACTGTCAATCATCTTGTCACAGTTAACATCTTCCACATTTCGTTTAATTTGATTTCCTACCGTATTGGAGAGAAATGAAGAGGCACGTTGATCTGCTAGTCGCGGGTCTATCATGCCGAGAACTCTGCTCATATGCTTGCATGATGCATTTAAAAGTTAATGACCAAACGTATCATTATAAAAGCTCACAGTGCTGCTGTAGATGAAATATAATGTGGATAACATTAAATTAACATTTTTCATCAGGTTAGACATTGATTATTTATCACTCAAATCCCTTTCTCTACCGGTCGCGTATATCCACCATGTTTGTAGTTTTAACACTTTTTATGTTTGTAGTTCTAATCGAATCCTCGTCCACCGCGCAATGTGTTGTGGGCAATATTAGCCGTTAAGAGTGTGCATCAATCTGCACTTCGAATTCTAACCGGAAGCAGTAGACCATCCGGGAATCTTTGGCATACTTTTTTAAACATACTATGATTTGGGACATACTAATTCTATTTTCGAATACTATTTAGGGTCGGATAGCATGCGAATTGGGACGCAGCACATGAAGTGTCCAACATTCGACACTTCCGGTACGTCCAAAATCGCGTACTGAGTAGGTACTACATTTGAATTTGTATTTACTTCACAACCGTTAAAATAGTACGTTCTATATAGTATGAATGTGGGTAGTATGAATGAAATTCGGACGTACTACATCCGCCATGTTGTTACTGTCACGTGACCTACCAGCGTCAGTTGCGTCGCTTCACTGCCGTTCATAAATCCTCTCCCGTGGCCTCATGGGATAGTAAAGTGTCTGTTGAATGCACACTTCAGAATCCAGGCGGAAGAAGTGGGTCATCCGGGGACTTTTCGCTTACTGTTTTTTGAATACTTGGAATTCGGACATTCTACTAGCCTCACATACTGTTTTTCGCATACTATTTAGTAGGGCAGTATGCGATTTCGGACGCAGCATTCGTTTTTAAAGGCACAATATGTACGTTTTCGCCACTAGAGGGCGCGTATTCAAAATAAACAAATACAGAGATGCTCAGATCATGCTGAGGTTCTTGTTAAGGAGACACAAGACAAGTGTGTGTGATTCATGAGTTTGTTGTTAGCTGATGAGTGCCGTCATTCATTCTGGAGCGTAAATACAGTGTTCATGTCTATAAGAGCGCTGACTAATGCCATTAGAGACACACACACGCTCAACAAAACACCTACTTCACCATATTTTGAGTACAAATTTGTCCCAAGCCTCCATTTGAAAACATTGTCTAAAATGACATTTAAATAAAGTAAATAATTTGTAGGCATCATATTTGCAATGGAAGTCTGTGTTAAAGTGTTCCAGAGGAAATAAATGAGTAACACTTTACAATAAGGTTCCATTTGTTGACATTAATTAAACTGAACTATGAAACATACTTATGAAACGTTTGTTCAATATTTACTACACATTATTAAAATCAAAAGTTGCATCATTAATTGTACCTGAGCTGACATGAACTAACAGCGAACAGTTGTATTTTTGATAAAAGCCAACAAAGATGAATAAATACTGTAACTAATGCATTGCTCATTGTTAATGCATTAACTAATGGGGCCTTATTGTAAATGGATACCAGCAAAGGTTTCATCAGTAACAAATCTTGCTGATTATCCTCAGAAATGATGCAAACTATGTAAAGAGTGACAAACACAGAGGTTCAGGTCAGAATAAATGAAGCGTGGGGTGGGCGGGGTTTGTGAAGTGTCACTCAGTGGTTGCCCTTAGCAACAGGATTTTTAACCCTGACCATGAGTCTAAACTAAAGAGATCATTGTTTCAGTTTCTATTTGGACTAAACTGAACTTGGAATAAGGAGACCATTTACTCTTCATTTACACACACTCTCCAGTTTTTATAACAAACTTTATAAAAACATGATGTAATACTTTTCAAAAACGGAACACACACACAGTTACTCTATAGTCTGTGAACTCTTGAACTACGTTTGTTCATTTTTTTTTTTTAAGAGATATAGCCATATTAAAAAACATTACACGTTTTGCTTTCAGGTCATTTTGGATCCAAGTATGTATATGTAGCAGCATTAGGTGTCAAAAATAATTTTTATAAAATTATCTATGGAGTTATATTAGTGTCAAAAAGCTTCAATAAAATATTTTTCGCCTTTCTCCATATCGCACACACTTTTGGGACTGAATTTTGTTGATGAACATGAATATGTTACGTCTATTGAAGAACCACCGCGGTATGAAAAACTGATCACTTTTTTCATCTTAAAGTGAATGTTTATACAATTAAAATTACTTTATTTAGCTTGGTGTGTGTGTGTGTGTGTGTGTGTGAGTCAGTGAGTGTGAGTGTAAACAGAGAGAGAGAGAGGAAACTGTCCCAAAGCATCCTTCATCTCATTCACAAACGCACAACAAAATGTGTTTATGAACAATGAACAGAGAATGATTCAAGAAACATATGCAGTTACATCTACATTTACGCTTTTCCAGATGCTATAGATGCAAATGGATATTTTGTTATGTGGTTTTGCTATTTTTATTAGGTTTTTATAATTGTATTATTATTATTATATTTCTACATCACTTTATTTTATTTTAGTTAGTTGCAAGGCAAACGTTTTTAAGTTTGTTTTTCATTATATTTAATTTTAGCTTAATTTCAATACCATTGTTTTAAAATATTAGCAAAATTTCAAAAAAATTGTAAAGTTTTTTATTATTTTTATAAATATTTTTATATTTTTTTATATCAGTTTTAATAGTAATTTTAGCACTTCAGGTTAAATTTAAGTTAGTTGCCCAGGCAAATTATCTAATTTTGTTTAAAGTTTTTTAAGTTTGTCATTTTTATGTTTTTTTTTTCTTTTCAATATAGCTTTATTTTATTTCAGTTTTAGTGTTAGTAAATTTAGAACTTTTAGCACTTTATCATTTTTATTTAGCTTTATTTTATTTCTACTAATCTAATATAAATATTAAATAAAATAATTAATTAATTAAAATTAAATGTTTTTCTACATTGGAGTTCAAAATTTCTAAAATATTTTTTATTATTTATTTAAACTTGAGTGCACATCTTGCTGATACTGATAATGCTGTTTGTAGCGAGGAAAAGAAGCGTCCTGTAGCTCACTGTAAACATGCGGCTGCAACAGGCCACAAGCACTTCCTCTAAGATCTCTTTGATATCTCAGTTGTTTCTCCTAGACTGCATGCAATTAAATGAGGATAAGATGAAATGCTTCTCGGATGTTTCTCCTGCAGTGATCAGACATGTGGAGATTCAGAAGAGATCTCAACAATGTCATCGGCTGCACAGATTTGCTAAGAAACTCACTCAGAACACTCAATATGAACTCAAACATTTCTCATCTTAAGATCAGAGCTACTCTACATTCATTTTATCATTCTGCACTCCAGTGACCTTTCAGGAGAAAAGCCCTTCCACACGTCACAGTGGTTTCTCAACACGGATCTCCTGTTATAGAGTGAAGAACATCTGGGTTCAGAGGAGCGTTTCCCATCACTGACCACATCATGTCTATGAGCAAATGGAGAGCTGTGCTCTCGCTTGATCTGCTTTTATGACATTCATGAAGATAAAAGAAGAACCCGATGACAAACCACAGTGACGCTGTAAAGGCTTCGATCCTCCCTCATGCAAAACCAGCAGAAAACCAGCTTTAGTTTTAGCACAAACACAGAACAGGGTTGTCTTCAGAACGTTCATTACAGACCCTACAGCCCACACACACACACACACACTCACACACACACAAACACACACACA